CTAAGCTAAGTGTTAATATAATGCTAACCTCAAAATGCTATCGATCAATACTCACAATGCAAATGCTACTACTATCGCTATTCCAACACCCGAATCTCTGCAGGGGAGTGGCTCTGCTTGAAACGCTTTTATACTCAGGCCCCCGCGGATGTGACGAAAACATGCAGGACATGTCACAGCGGAGAACCAGTTAGCCAATATGCAAATTAGCCTGCAGTACCAGACCTCTACCCATACGAGCAGCAAAAAGACTTTTTAGACCAAATATTACAGATTTGAACAAATACGCACAAAAACATTAAAATTAGCACAGAAACAGTACTATATAACATTTTAGACACATTCTAGACAGTTTATCAGCTAAAAAAAGTTAATTTTGGGTTAAGTTACTCTTTAAAGAGTTGACCTCAACTCTGAGCCATAGTGCAATCTGCTCTGTAGTATCTTGTATGTTAGGCTACTAAATGCAGAATGCACTTTATATGTATTGAAAAGGACACTTTAAAATGTTAAATATTAACACTTTCCAAAGTGTAATTTCAACTCAGAATCTGAGAACTTATATAAACTAGAGATGGGATAAATGGCTCTTTGAAGGGAACCGGATCTTGGGGAGCCGTTTGTTTCATAGAGCCGTTCAAAAGAGCCGGTCGATTTTGAACGTATTACGTCATCACGTAGCCGTACGTAATGATGTCATCCCGTCACGTGGGTGGAACCATGTGTTTGTCAAGCGGAAACCCCCCTTCCCCTCTCATCGTGAGCTTCTGTACTCCACAACTCCGCCTGTTTTCTGTGAAAAAGCAAAGCAGGAGCGATTTAAGTATGAAAAAAATATAGATTATATGAGGAATAAAAGAAATGAAACTACTGGTACAAATGTCTCGTTACTGCCCGCGATCCGGCTCCCATCGTTCGTTATAAAGAGCCGTTCAAAAGATTCGGATCTTTCGCGAACGTCACATCTCTAATATTAACTCAGAAAAAGTGTTAAATTTAACACTCTGCATTAAATTAACACTTTGGATTTTGCTGTGGTATCTGGAAAAAGTGAAATGGTATTGGTAAAAGATTTTATTTATACTCTAAAATGTTACATATTTAACACTAATGTCCAGTGTTGTTTCAACACTGAGAACTTGGACCCAAATGATCACCAAGTTTGGTGTAAAATTTACTCTTAAAGTGTAGCATAAACACTTAACATGTGACTGAAGGAGTCCACCTAAAGAACAATCCAGCAAAAAATAAACTGTCCTGTCAACAGACAGAGCCAGAAGAACTGCACAGATTAATTAAGCAGTTTTAGCTATAATCCATAATTTAGGCAACATTCAGCAATACAAACTTGTTTTAACTGGACATTAAGTAGTGCTCACAGCAAAGCAAAAGTGGACAGTGGCTGATTTTTAGACCTTTGTGGACATAGATGAGAAGCAAATCTTTTCCATCTGATCTACCAAAATTAAGGAATCGATGTTGATAAATCGGCTGGCTGATTTATCAGTGCAGCCCTACTTAAAAACTGTGACTGAGAAGAGGTTGAGCAGCTGCCTTCATGGGTGCATTAGCCAAGGAAGACCTTTTAGGGTTAACTCTACCCACATCTTCTATGTTACCGCATGTAGAATCCAACATAATACACATTAAAGGAACTCTCCAAAAATTCAGGAAACACCTAGAGAAATTTTTAAGTAAAAAATCTACAAAAATATAAAAAGATGTTGTTTACTTTATAAAACATAACATACGTTGTTTGCTGACGTCACTGCACCCACTTCGAACGTTGTCAGTCCATTATCAGCACCACTGAGACCAGCCGATTAAAGTTTGAAACATTTCAGAGCACAAGCAGGGGCGTAGCTCTGATTGGATAATCATCATGGCACAGATGTAGCACATTGTCACTCACGGTGACCAAGTGCAAGCATAACTTTTTTCATTCAGTTCAATTCAGTTTATTTACAGCGGGTRAAATAAGTATTGAACACGTCACCATTTTTCTCAGTAAATATATTACTAGAGGTGCTAATGACATGAAATTTTCACCAGATGTCGGTAACAACCCAAATGATCCATACATAAAAGAATTCAAAAAATGTCCTGAAATGAAGTTATTTGTAATAATGTGGAATGGCACAGGGAAAAGTATTGAACACATGAAGAA